AACATTTTTCCCATTTTCCGCATTGTTTACGCACAGACGCTGGTGGGCATTGCTGGGCCTCGTTCTCCTCTTCACCTTTGCCACTCGCTTCTACAAGGTAACCGAACCGGATCACATTTGGTAAGTATTTCCCAATAGCACACTCCAACTGGATCCAATCAGAACTCCACATCTCTTCTCAGTTGGGATGAGACGCACTTTGGCAAAATGGGCAGCTGGTACATCAATCGCACCTTCTTCTTCGACGTGCATCCGCCCCTGGGAAAGGTGAGCCGACTTGAAAATACCTCAGACATGTCAATATATGCCTAGAGTAGTATTCATCTCCCTATGCATCCATTGCAATATGCATGCATAGACTAGGCCGATGGGAATATTGAGCGAAGCTTTGCCTCGGTTTTTAGTTTAGTTTCCATTTCCAGAATTTTCTATGTGAAATTTCATTTTAGCCTCTTTTCTTGCTCTCTGCTCAAAGTGTTTATCTCTCTATGCTTTTTTCATCTGCTTCTTTATCTAACGGTTATTCTGTCTATCTCTTCGACTCACTCTCTCGCTTTTTCAGTCTACATGTCTCATTATCTGAGTAGCTTCACTTCTGTTTGTGCCTTGCTGTTTCGCTTCTCTCTCTCTCTCTTTCACTCTATTATCTCACTGTGTGTTTGCCTCTGTGCTGCTCTGTCTCTGTCGATGCCTATCTCTCTCACTGTCCCTATCTCATTCTCATTCTCTTTATCTCTATCTCTTTCGCGCTCTCTCTCTGTTTCTATCTCTCTCGAACCCTGTCGCTATCTCATGATTTCTCTATTTCTCTCTCTCTCTCTCTCTCTCTCTCTCTTGATGCCTTTCTCCCTTACTGTCCTTCTCTCATTATCTCTCTCCCTCTCTGTCTGTGTTTCTGCTTCACTCCTTATTGCTTCCCTCTCTCCCTCGCTCTATCTCTCTGTGTTTATCCCAACGCTTTTCCTTCTGTGTTCCGCTCTCTCTCTCTCTTTCTCTCTCTATATATATATATCTGCATCTCTCACAGTCTCCATCTTCTTATCTATCTCTGTCTCTGTATGTCTCTGTTTCTCCCTTTTTCTTTTTATTTCCTTTCCTATATCTTTGCGTTTCTACATATCTTCCTGAAATTCTCTCACTCTCCATCTCCCTCTGTATATTTATTGTATATCGCTGTCTATTTACATATACTGTCTCTATGCATATATATCTCCATATATCTCTCTATCTATATTTGCCTCTATCTATCTTCTCTCTATCACTGATTTTTGCCTTCTCTTTCCATCTTTCCATTTCTCTAACTCTCTAACCTAATCTCTCTCTATATATATTTCACGCTCTCCCATCCACTTTTCTCTAACTACTTGTCTATCTAAGCTGAGAGCAAGAATGTTTTCTCTCTGCTCTCCCACTTTCCTTCCCTTTGTTGACTTACATATGTTCTTCGCACTCTCTCTCACTCCCTTTCACTCTCTCTCTCTCTCTCTCTCTATTCCAGATGTTAATCGGCCTCTCTGGCTATTTGACCGGCTACAATGGGACCTTCCCGTTCGAGAAGCCCGGCGACAAGTACAACGGGACGCGATATCAGGGCATGCGCTATGTGAGCATCCGGAATCGGAATCGGAATCAGTTCTCTGGCCCAAACTAATCTTTCGCTCAACTCTTGCCTTGCAGTTCTGCACTACGCTGGGCGCTCTCATCATGCCGATGGGCTTTGATACGGTCTACGATCTGACGCGCTCGCATGAGGCGGCGCTGCTGTCGGCAGCATACCTGATCTTCGGTAAGCACTGAGGCCACTCCATGCGAATAGCTAGCTGAGCTCAGGTTGTCTCGTTGCAGATGTGGGCCTGCTGACCCTCAACCAGTATATCCTGCTGGATCCGATACTGCTGTTCTTCATGATGGGCTCGGTGTGGGGCATGGTCAAGATATCGAAGTGCACCGCCGCTGGTGGCTCCTACACGCGCCGCTGGTGGCTCTGGCTGCTCTTCACCGGCACGATGCTCTCCTGCACGATAAGCGTGAAGTTTGTGGGCCTGTTCGTGGTGCTGCTGGTGGGCTTGCACACGGCCAGCGAGCTCTGGCTGATACTGGGCGACCTGGAGAAGCCCATTCTGGAGACGGTGAAGCAGTTGGTGTGCCGCGCCATTGCGCTCATCGTCTGGCCGGTTCTGCTCTACACGATCTTCTTCTACATCCATCTGCGTGTGCTCAATCGCAGCGGCCACGGCGACGGCTTCTACAGCTCGGCCTTCCAGTCGCGCCTCATCGGCAACTCGCTGTACAATGCGAGCATGCCGCGGGACGTGGCCTTCGGGGCGCTGGTGACCATCAAGAACCACAAGACGGGCGGCGGCTACTTGCACTCGCATTCGCATCTCTATCCCAAGGGCAGCGGCGCACGCCAGCAGCAGGTGAGCGAATCCAGGTGGACTGTACGCACCGCACAGATCGGCTCTAATTGAAGCTCCTCCTTGGCTCAGATCACCACGTATACGCACAAGGACGACAACAACATCTGGCTCATCAAGCCGTATGACCAGCCGGCAGTGCCCAAGGGCGAGCTGCGCCTCCTGCGCCACGGCGACCTCCTCCGGCTGGAGCACCTGGTGACCAAGCGCAATCTCCACTCGCACAGCGAGCCGGCGCCCATGACCAAGAAGCATCTGCAAGTGACCGGCTATGGCGAGGTGAGTTCGAATTCGAGTTCGAATTCGAATTCGAATTCGATTTCGATTTCGATGCAAAATAAATTCCATTTGCCATTTCGCTCCACAGCTCGGCGTGGGCGATGCCAACGATGTGTGGCGCGTGCTGATTGTGGGCGGCAAGCAGAATGACACCGTCCACACGGTGACCTCACGGCTCATATTCGTGCACTATCTGCAGAGCTGTGTGCTCACGTCCAGCGGCAAGCAGCTGCCCAAGTGGGGCTTCGAGCAGCAGGAGGTCTCCTGCAATCTGAACATACGCGATAAGAATGCCCAGTGGAATGTGGAGGATAATCAGCATAGGCTGCGTAAGAAGAGCATTGACTCGCTCTCTCTCTATCTCTCTCTAATATTTCGCTCCCTCTCTCTCTCTCTCTAACTATCCTAGTGCCCAGCGTGAGCTTCAGCATCTATGCGCCAGGCTTCTTTGCGCGCTTCCTTGAATCACATGCGGTCATGCTGCAGGGCAACGCCGGGCTCAAGCCCAAGGAGGGCGAGGTCACCAGTCGACCTTGGCAATGGCCCATCAACTATCGGGTAAGAGAATGCTACACCTGTAGCTCCGACTCCCGCCTCCCGTACAAGTAGGCAACGGTAACTAATATTTTTCGTACCCCTCCCCCTGGCAGGGTCAGTTCTTCTCGGGCAGCAGCTATCGCATTTACTTGCTGGGCAATCCGTTCATCTGGTGGAGCAACCTTGTCTTTCTGCTGCTCTTCATCAGCATATTTCTGTGCAATGCCATTCTGCATCAGCGCCGCGCCGGCTTGGCCGCCCGCCAAGCCGCTGCAGTCGAGCAGAGCGCCACGCAGGAGCTGTGCAGCTGCTGTCCGGCGGAGACTCTGCCGGAGCCAACTGCCGTCGCCGTGCTCTCCGAGCAGAGCCCGCAGCGCATGTCACTGCAGGCAGCCGCCTGGCTGTTCATTGGCTGGCTACTGCACTATTTGCCCTTCTGGGCCATGGGTCGAGTGCTCTACTTCCATCACTACTTCCCCGCACTAATATTCAATTCGCTGCTCACAGGTAAGTGCTGGAATTTATACTTGGTATAATATGTAAGTATTTGTGAATAAAATATTTGTGTATACCTCTGCCTCTACTAAGGAGAATCCTTAGACATTCTTAGTTGAGGTAGAGATCCATCGATAGTGGGTGCCAATCGATAGTAGGTGACGGTGAATTTAAGAACCAGCAATAGTGGTCGATAATATCATCGATAAGAAGTCCTTAGGTAGTCCTAACATGTGTATATATACTATTGACATAGAGATCAGCTTGACTAGGTAGCTATACCAAAACGACGTGTATAGGGTATCTACAAGTCAGCTGTATGCAATTCAATGATTTAAATCATTACATCAATTACTGTCTATAGTAAATAATCTAGCTGTCATTCCATAGAACTGACATACTACAAGTACGTACAGGGTATATATAGTCGAAGACTTTCAACCCATACAATTTGCAATTTGCACACTCACTTTAGTACAGGGTATTCCTAAGACTTAGTCATTCAATGACTTCACCTTTTCTCCTCTTTCTCCATTCAGTGTATTCGAATAGGGTTAAGTTTCAGGTTAGTATAGGATATTATCAAATCAGATATACGCACCTTCTTCTTCTTCTTCTTCAGCTTCTGCTTCTGCTCTTCCAATCACATCTTCTAGAGACAGTGTATTGATCTAGAGCTGTGCTTCAGCTTAGTGTAGAGCATTCGCCAGTCGGTGACATTCATCTTCACCTTAGAGTATTCATAATTCTCATTATCTCATCACCCTCTACAGCTATGGGGTATAGCGTATTAGCAAGTCAGGCACATTCATCCAATCCGACATCCCTTCTTCATCTTCTTCCCATCTCCTTCTTCAAGCGTTATATTTAAGCATAGTATAGAGTATTCGCCAGTCGGGGACATTCCACTACTGCTTCTACATATTATTATTTACCACTGCCTAATCACCCATGTTCAGGTATCATACTTATCTATAGTTATGTTTCAGATTGGTATAGGGTATACCGTATGTCGCATACCTTCTTACTTTCCTCAATCTGTCAGTCAGCAGCTAACAAACTACTCTTCAGCTATGTTATACATTAGTATATAGGGTATTTTATTTAGTATATAGGGTATTTCATCACCATCTTCTTCCTCATCTTCTTCAGGCATTATGTTCAACTATATAATACGATCGCTGCCCCGATGGCTGCAGCATGCGCTGCTCGGCTCGCTGCTCTCGGCGCTCGTCTACAGCTTCGTGCTCTTCTCCCCGCTGGCCTACGGCATGAGCGGACCCCTGGCCAACGAGCCCAACTCAACGATGCACAAGCTCAAATGGCTCTCCACCTGGGAGTTTTAGCTTATAAGCACTTTCATATACTCTATTTATTTATATAGATCCGTGTAAAGAAAATAATGCGCTTCGTTTAAATACACAACAAAAAATAGATTTATTTTTTTTTTTTAGAAAAACAAAAAAAAAACATTAAAATATGTATATCTTAACCGTATGATAATAATAAAAAAAAAAGAACATAGGTAACCAGATGCAAGTTATAAATATAAATAAAGCATTCGCATTAGGAGTCGCATCAGTCAAAGATGCCCAGCTCGTCGAAGCGCCGCAGTGCATAGCGCAGGGTGTCGGTAGTGCGTGGATTTGAGGAGAACATCAGCTGGACCTTCTTCTTGGCAAAGTCCTGGTCGGTGAGGGCCTCGATGCTGATGTCATAGGAGTCCTCCTTCCGCATGGTGACCATCGGCAGGAAGGCGTAGGACGAGAAGAAGCCGTACAGCTCCCTGGCATTGATCTCATGCTGGATGTCCGCATAGCTGGGCACAAACTCGGAATGCATGCGCTCCAGGCTCTCGCGCAGCGAGGCATAGTACGTCTGGATGAGGAACTCGCGCCTGTGCATGAGCACGTCCAGCTGGACGCTGCTGTTGAGAAAGAAGTTGATGTCGCAGCCGGGACTGCCAAAGAAACTGTTCTGAAAGTCCACCTAGAAGAAGAAGTTCGAATCCATAAGGATTTGTGAAATCACTCGCACTTCATGCCTGGGACAACTCACAAAGATGGCATCGATGGGCTTTGTGGGCAGCTCATCGTGGTATTTGTACATGAAGTTGTTGACCCACAGATCGCCATGGTTCAGCACTGTGATCTCGCCCGGTACCGCCCGGCCGGTCACCACCAGATTCTCCTTGATATTGTCGCAGTGGCGATGCAGCTTCTCGGCCAGCTTCTCGTAGCCAGCCCACTTGGCCACCAGATTGGCCAGCGTGCGCAGCTGGAGGGTCATAAAGTTGATGAAGCGCTCATTGGTGCGTATGTAGTTCTCGTCCAGCATGCCGCTGCTGAAATGCTCCCGCACGCTGGGCTCCTGGTTAAGACAGAGACAGAAGAGAGAAGAGAGAAATTTAGATGAATCTGATTGATGTCAATCCCTGGAGCTGGCTGTTGGCTTACCTTCTCGACCAGCACCATGGAGCTGGCATGGAATTTGCCCAGCTTCTTCAGTATGACCACACAGTGCTCCTCGTTGAGGCCGCTCTGGCGATTGGCCAGCTTGTAGCCGTACTGTGTGAGATCATCGAAGACGATCGTCTGGATGGGCTCGCGCGTCGTATAGAAGCACTTGGCCCCAAACTTTGAGCCGTCCCCGATCAGCACCTCCAGCTTGCCGAGCACATCGAAGTAGAAGATCTTCTCGCGCAGATAGACGGCCAGCTCCTCGAGGAATTGTGTGGCCGGCGTTATGGCAATGCTTTTCACAATCAGGGCCAGCTCCTCGTCCAGCTGCCGTTTGCTGCTCCGATACAGAGCCCGGGCCCGATAGATCTTACTGCAGTAGTTCTCGCCACCGCCGCTGTTCGACTCGGCGAATATGATCTTCTTGATGTCGACGCGCATATCGCGCAGCCCATCCTCGAGGGCGGCCTTGAAGAAGTCCTCGTTGAGATATTTGGGCGGTTCGCTGGTGCGCTTCTCGCCTTCCAGCTTCATGCTGTGCGCTTGAGACTCTGCGAAACTCCTGCGAAACTCCTGCCAAACTGTGAACCAAAACTAGCTGCAATCCCTGTGTCTCTCAGTCAATGTAGTCCTCGCTCTACTCAGTCTCCTGTCTATCCTCCCTGTATCTCTGTATCCTCTTGCAGCGAGCGCTTTGTACTTGTCTGCTGCCTTGGGCCGCGTCGCTTGGAAAACTGTGGCCGGGCCAGGTGGCTTCTCTATATAAATCTGATTATCGACTTTCGCCACTGCGCTTATCAAACTTGGGTCGATATTAACTTCGTGCCGACATCTGCAATCGGCCAATCAATATGCGCTAAGGCTAAGGCACATCACACAGACAGACATATACAGAGCCATCTATATAGTATAGTACATATATATGTATATGCACACATACTGCGCTGAACTGTCGTGTTATAATCACAATATTTGCCAATTAAGCTATCTAATAAATCGTCAAGTGGCGACCACTGCGACGCAATGCATATAAGTACATATATATAAGAGCTAATACCCCCACTTTCCCCCCAGACAGCCCTCACGACAAGAACCAACTGAACTGTAATGAAAACTTGCGCCAAGAGACATAGTACTATACCTGCTATAGACAGTCGAGTATGCTCTATTAATCCATGATTCTCTGACCCCACGATTCCATGACTCTCTGCCTCTATGACTCTATGGCTCTAGGATTCTATGCGTCTATGACTCCATGACTCTATGACTCTTTGGCTCTCTGATTCTCTGACTCTGTAACTCTTTGACTCTATATTTGATTCTCTGACTCTATGACTCTAAGACTATGACTCTATGACTCTGCGACTCTATGACTCTTTGACTCTATGACTCTATGACTCTATGACTCTATGACTCTATGACTCTATGACTCTATGACTCTATGACTCTATGACTCTATGACTCTATGACTCTCTGACTCTATGACTCTCTGATTCTATAACTCTATGACTCTATAACTCTCTGATTCTATAACTCTATGACTCTCTGATTCTTTAACTCTCTGAATCTCTGACTCTATGATTATATGACTCTATGATTCTATGAGTCTATGACTCCATGACTCTATGACTTTCTACCTCTCTGATTCTGTGACTCTCAGACTCTATAACTCTCTGATTCTTTTACTCTATGACTCTTTGACTCTATGACTCTCTGACTCTATGACTCTCTGATTCTATAACTATATGACTCTATGACTCTCTGATTCTATAACTCTCTGAAAATCTGACTCTATGGCTATATGGCTCTATGACTCTATGGCTATATGGCTCTATGACTCTATGACTCTATGACTCTATGACTCTATGACTCTCTGACTCTCTGACTCTATGACTCTATGACTCTCCGACTCTATAATTATGCACATTTTCCCACAATTATATTATCGATTTTAGATCAGTTTCATTGTTATAAATTTATAATGCGCCTAATCGTTAAATACATCTATAAACACACCCATTTATAATGCATTTGATAGGGAACGCAACTTGGGCACTTGCACATGCAACGAGATTATTCCAGCTCCGATCTTGCACGTGTTTCCATGGGCTTTCAGGGCTTATCGGTTGTTAGCTATGCATATGACACATACATACATATATATATATTATTTACAATTTCTATCAAATTTGTTGCCAATCTAAGAACTAATTTGTGCTACAATTCCAAATAAAAGTGAACGTATGAGTAATTCGATTAGATCTCAATTCCAGTTATATGTAAAGACTCATTTCCGCTTCACTTTGAATATTGAATTTAATAACCACTTTTCACTTTCTCTCTATCGATTGGCTTGATTTGCAGACAATTAGAAAACTTAGTTTGGGCGTACACAATCATCAAGTCCTTGTGTGAGTGTGTGTCCTTGCGTGTGATGGCGATAATGATAATGATAATGAGTGAGTGCTCATTCGTCTGTGGTTTCATCCGTCTATCCGGAGGGATGGATATACATATGGATATGTCAGTCTGTTCTTCCGTCTTTTATTTCTGTGGACCATCCTTCCGTCTGACTATCCGTATGTCTATCTGGCTGTATATCTCACAGTCTGCCTGTTGTTCTGGCTGTCAGTGTCTGCGTCTAGCTATCTTTCCGTCCGCCAGTCCTTCCATCCGTCTATCCGTTCCTCAGTCTTTCCATTCGCCTGTCTGTCCGATTATGTGTCTGTGTGTCTGTTTCCCCGTCTGAGCATTTGTCTGTCCGTCCATTCTTCATTTTATCTGTTCTTCCGTCCTTCCATCAACTTTTCCGTTCGTCAATCCGCCTGTCCGTCTATTCATCGATATATCTGTCTTTCATTCCATCTGTCCGTCCGTCAGTCCGTCCATCCTTCTACCTATCTGTGAGGAGGCTGACGAGTTCGACAGATTTTTGGATATCTTTTGACTGACTGATTGCACTTTTAGTGAATTTCTTAGTTTTGATTTGCATTGCTCAATGAAATTTGGTGAATTACTTGAAGCTCCGTAATCTACAATTACCGACAATTACGTCATCTGCAGTCAGAGTGCATTGGGGAAACAGTTCGTGCCGCTATGTTGATCAGATATGCTGCGCTCATAAGCGAACGGCACCTTTCTCCGCAATTCTCATGACATGCTGCTACGTGCTTCAACAACAACACACCCACACACACACACATAGCTGTGAGCACAGATTTTAGTTAATGAGCTTGAGACGTCGCTGCTATGATTATCTCTGATTCACAATAAACCGAGTCTGGCAATCGTCTAGTTTTGCCATCTTCGATGAGTCTTAACCACAATGAACATGCACACCACTGATAAGCATCCCCCATAAGCCATGACGTACTTGCTATAGAAAGAGAGAGCTGCCCATTCAGCTGCTAGCCTTGATGAAGATGGGAAGTTAACTCTGTCGCTGTTTCGGAGACGTCTTCGCATCAGCACTTCACATTGATCTTCAGGTATGCTGATGATAGGCTGCGACTATACGACGCGGAATCCCAGCTCAAAGATCAAAGAGCAACATTATTCATTTAGATATCGCGGAGTATTTCATTAAGCTTTCATTAATATATGTATATTGCTTTTGCTTTGTATTTGATTCTGTTTATGGTTAATTCTCTGTTTACATAAGTCAAGACCAGTATATTTACTCTCTGGAATTTATAGAAAATTCGATTGGCTTCTCAAGCTGTTTGACATGTGATTATAATAGCCTCATACGAACTTATAAAATATATATATTTCTAAGCAGCACCAATACAATGGGAACTTAAAATAGATTTCATAAAATATGCATAACAGGCAGAAGGAGTCATCATGCTATAAAATCATAATCCTTTCTAGACTTATTTAGCTGTCCTGCAATCCATCGATCCGTCCGTTCCATCCGACTTTATCTAGGCACTTCCATCTCTCTTTATATCAGCCCATCTAGCTTCATCTAGATCTTTCCATCAATCTGTGCAATCGCTTTTTCATTCATCCATCCTCAAGAGCTATAGAGAAATTTAATAACAGATCGATTAAGTCAGCTTTAAGCAAATATGCTCAAAGTCTTAAAGTCTACTTGAGCAATCTAACTAGAGAAACTCCCAAAATATTGGCTAATCTGCAGTACCCATTCGACAGCATTCCTTACCTTCCAGACTATAACTCTCCATAACAAATGATTCTCAGCCCCTTTTATCATAGGGCCCAAACGAATTCTTCTATCGTAGATGCTCGAATCTAATTAAAATCCTTTTCGATTTGCATAGGCCCATAGAACTGATTTCTATAGATGGTGATTTCTATAGGTGTAAAGTACAGCGTGTGTGTACAATACAATATATTGGTATGCTCTTATGTATTAGCCTTCAGGCACTCGAGCTGGCATAAAAAATGCCAGTTCACCGCAATCCAGAACTGGACAAACATTAGCAATTGATCAATTCGAGAGCTTGATACTGGCCAGCTATGTCCACAGTGGACGAGTGCGACGAAATCGAAGTGCAGCCCATAGATATCGGGCTAGAAGTAGAAGTGCCCAGCCGACAGCTCAAATACCTCAATAGATAATCGATAACTGCGACTTCTAGCACATTCGAAACGCATTCGAACTGTGTCAAAACTCAAGTAGCATCGCCTTATTTACCTTGTCTATGAAACAATTCACAGACATACCCATCTGATTATCTATGGAGCAGCGGCATGCCGCCAGACTGCAGATAGGCCCTACACACACATACAGATTTATATGCATATATACATATGTATGTGTGTGTACATAGGCACAATCTGCACTTGTGCAACGCGAATCACCAAGAAATTTTTATTGCTGCGCAAAAAACTGCATCAAACTTGAACTAAATTCTGCGCATTTATTGAAAGGCCAATCAAACTTGAATGGGCGCATAAATGCATAGAAAAGGTATGCAATGTCTTACTGGAGGTCTCCAAAATGAAAGTAGAACTAGATTAGATTAATAACATTTTGTTATGCATTATGAGTTACCKAAACCTAAATGAGATCCGAAGCTTTACAACTTTGTCTCTTCCTGAGAGAGATTCTAGGGTTTCTTTCTCTCTCTCCCTCTCTCTCTCTTTCTTTCTCACTCGAGAGTTTAGCTTGGGCGTAACCTCTCTTGACCTCACTTTCATCTAATCTCACCTCAAAATCCAAAATCCCAAATCCTGTTCGCCTGTGTAACTGATAGACCAAGAAAATTTCATCGAGTCACACATCTAATACCGTGGAAAAACAGAGATAGTTTCATGTTGCATTCGAAATTCATTTTAACATTGACTAAACCTAAACTCTATGAATTGTAATACATGTAAGACTGATTTACCTAAATAATCTGAGTAGAGATACACGATTTATGTTGTCCGAAATGAGATTTATATTTTCCAGAAATTATAATTAACTATCAATTCGTCGTGTCAGCATAATATCAAAATTCCTCTTCTGGCGTTCGCTATAGAAATCGGTTGCTCTCTGAATGCTCATCGTTTCTCAATTCTCTCTACATTTTGGTTTTTTTGGTTTGCTCTTCCCTTGTATTTGCCTCGATTCTTCACTCTCTACAGGCTGTATTTCTTCTGCCCTCTCTACATATTCATATGTGTCTCCCTCTCTCTCTCATATTCTCTGTTACTTTTATGTCACAAGTTTTATATTTTTGTTTCTTTTCCTGTTCCTACCTCAATTTCTTGCGCTCTCATTATCCAATTCCCCCTCCCTCACTCTCTCTGGCACATTCTCTGTCTCTCTCACAATTGGTCATACTGTTTCTTCACCATCTCTCTCTCTCATCTCTCTCCCTTATACTAACTCGGTCCCTCTCATACTATCTCTTCATCTCTCTCTTCTATGTTTCCTCTATCTCTTCACTCTCTCTTTCATATTATCTATCTCATTTTCTCCTTCATTTTCATCGTCTCTCTTTTTCTTGCATCTCTTTGTTAAACCTTCGCCTTCGCTCTCTGTCTGTCTCCGTCTCTCTTTCTCTTATATTCTCACTCTTCCTCTCCCTTACACTCTCACTCTTTTCCAAAATTTCCCAGTCAATAATATAGTGTATTAAAACCTCTCATGCTGTCTGCCTCCCCCTCTATCTCTCTCTCTCTCTCTCTCTCTCTATCTTTCTCCCTATATATGTGGCGACTGCAACTTGTAGTTGTAGCTGGATGTTTCTGGCTGCCATTCAGCGATCAGCTTTAGATTGGGCTTCACGAAATTGTCGAGGCCTCTGGCATCTACCCCCTGGCGGCTCTGCGGCAGTCGCTTCTTGTGCTTTGGCTTCGTCTTCGGCTGGGCCAGCCACTGGGACGGCGGCTGGGGCAGATCGCGGGCCATTGGCGGGCACATCAGTGGCACCGCCTTATGCAGATTGAGCTCGCGTCGCTCGCAACGATTGAGCACATGTCGAACCTCGTCGCTCTGGACAAAATAGCTGCGCAGCTCATTGGCATTGAAGTGGGTCATCATGCAGCTCTCACCGGGATCCTGACGGTTCTGGATCAGATGGGCAGCCATCAGCACGCTGGCCAAGTTCACGCCGTCCATGGCGGCCAGCGCTGGTAGCGACACCAGCGGCTGTCCGTTCGGCTGATGTGTCCACGCATAAACCTTCTCGCCCAACAGCTGGCAGGTGTGCGCAATGCCATCGACACTGCGTCTCTGAGGATTTGCTCCAATCGGCTGTGGCTCTGGCTTTGGCAGCTCGTACGTTGTCTTCTCTGGCTCTGCTTGAACTGTCTCATAATAGCCCTTACAGTCTCTGTAGTACTTCAATGAATCCACTGAGGATCCAATCGGCTGCTGTAGTTCGGAATAGTAGCCCAGATTCTTGACACTACCATCGATGCTCTCACTCTGGAGATCTGCGGCAATCGGCAGGGGCTCTGACTGTGGTCGCTGCGTTGTCTTCTCTGGCTCTACCTGAACTGTCTCATAATAGCTCTTCCAGTCTCTGTAGTACTTCAATGAATCCACTGTGGATCCAATCGGCTGCTGTTGCTCGGAATAGTAGCTCAGATTCTTGACGCTACCATCGATGATCTGACTCTGGGCAGCTGCTCCAAGCAGTAGCTCTTCACTCAAGTGCATTGACTTCTCTGGCTCCACCTGACCCGTCTCGCTGTAGCTCTTCCATTCCTTGAAGAACATCAATGCATCCACTGTGGATCCCATCGGCTGTGGCTCTGACTGTGGTCGCTCTTTGCCCAACTGCGTTGTCTTCTCTGGTTCTACCTGAACCGTCTCGCTGTAGCTCCTCCCGCCCTTGTAGTACTTCAATGCATCCACTGTGGATCCAATCGGCTGCTGTAGTTCGGAATAGTAGCCCAGATTCTTGGCACTACCACCGATGCTCTGACTCTGGGCAGCTGCTCCGATCGACTCTGGCTCTAGCAGCTCCTTGCCCAGCTGCTTCGGCTTGCCTGGCTCTACCTCAGCTGTATCGATGTAGCACTTCCCGCCTTTGTAGTCCTTCAATGAAAACACGTTGGATGCCAGATCCTTGACATTGCCATCGATGCTCTGTCCCTGAGGATCTGCTCCGCTCGACTGTGGCCGCTCTTTGCTCAACTGCGTTGTCTCCTCTGGCTCTACCTGAACTGACTCGCTGTAGCTCTTCCAGTCCTTGTAGTACTTGAATGAATCCTTTTTCGGTCCAGACGGCTTGGGCAGCTCGGGATAGTAGTCCAGATTGTTGGTAAAAAAGGGCCTATCGACGATTGGCTCAGCGCAGCTATTATCGCTGGCCTTCAACGTGCTCTTCTTACGTCTGCGTTTCTTATCGCCGTCCATCTTTTTGTTTGCCGAACTCATTTAAATAAAATAGTTCTTTATAAAAGCAAACAAACTGTATTTCGATATGAATTGTGCATAGAATTTCAGTATTCTACAAACTGACATTTGACAAGCATCGAACAGCCTACTTGACGCATTGAAATACAACTCACAAGTTTCATAAAGGAAGCGAGGGGCAATCCCGACAAGCCCATGGTATCGATATATATCGATAGATATAGGAGGCAACTCGTAAATAAGTTAACATAGTCGTTCACACAGGGAAAAGGCCGCCCATCTATTTATGTAAATCAAGTAAATCAACCAGAATCAAGCCCTATTATGCAGTCAGGCACTCTCTAAATAACAGTACTGTTGAGAACCATTTTGAATAGCTCATTTCTCGCTCCTTTTCTCTCGTACTCTTTCGCTCCCTCCTATTCTCGCAGAGCTAGCACTCTGTCTGGCACTCTCTTGCTCTCCCTTACTCTCCCTTACTTCTCTCTCATTTACTTATTAACCCTCTCTTATTACATACCCTCTCTCTTGCTGTCTCCATTTAACTTGCTCTCCCTCTCTGCCTATTACTGTATATCCATATGTGTCTTTCTTCATATCTCTATCCATAGCTTTTCATCTCTCTCTTGCACTTGTGTCTCTCTTTCACGCTGCTTGAGAGAGTCTGACTCTCTCTCTTTCTTTCTCATGCTCTCTCTATAGCTTTTCCCCTTCTCTTTCTTCATCTCTCTCTCTGTCTCCATTGTTTTCTCCATTTCTCCTTTCTTCATCTCTCTCTGTCTCCATTGTTTTCTCCATTTCTCATTTCTTATCTGACTCTCTCTCTCTCTCTCTTTCTCCCCATCTACCTCATTCTCGCTCTCTCCAATCTCTCTCTCTCTCTCTCTC